TAGCTGTAACGCATATCTCTCAAGGCCACTGGAGGAGTTGGTGTGTCTAGGTTTTGTGGGAAGCTTCCTACCTTCCCAGCTTCTGCAGCCGTTAGTAATCTGCCAAATGCCCGCGCACGGGAGCCCATCTAATTGGGTACTATGTGGTGGTGGTGGGTGAATACGAATGCCCTATATCCTATTATGCGCATAGGTAACCTGCCATTCCTAACAATGTTCATGTTACTGCATCTATAGCTTTTCAATAAAAGTAAAACCTTCCTAGAAGTTGTCTTGCTGTGGATCCTGGCAAGTAGCCAAAAGCGATTGAACTATCGGAATTGCAATGAAGGGAAAAATCAATACAGAGGACTTAATGCAGGTTAAATCTGGGAGGAGACTACCAAAAATGCAAACATATGGTTTCAAGATCAAATCAAGCCTGAACTCTCTCTAGAAGCCAAAATGACTCCATTGAGGCGATTGTACTTTGGTCAGATCATGTGAAGACAAGACTCACTAGAAAGGACAATAATGCTAGGAAAAGATGAAAGCCGCAGGAAAAGAGATGGACTGACTCCATCAAGGAAGCCACGGAGGCCCCCAGTGTGCAAGAGCTGAGCCAGGCTGTTAGTGATAGCGATTTTCTGGAGGTCGTTAATTCGTAGGGTCACCATAAGTGACAAATGACTTGATGGCACATCTCTCTCTCTCTCTCTCTCTCTCTCTCTCTCTCTCTCTCTCTCACACACACACACACACACACACACACACACACACACACACACATTGCTGAGATCCATCTGCCAAGCAGTCGACAGATACAGTGCATGCTTTCTAGGGAAAGGATATTTAGAAATGGGAGGGGGAGGGGGAGGGAGTTTAATTACAAATTTGAGACTTCCCAGTGTAGTCTGTTCTGTACCTAAGCTTTGCTGTCGTAATTCATTTTATGATGTGATTCAGTTTTAGAAAGGAAACAGTTCTGTAGAAAAATACAGAAGTGGGAGACTTTCCACCCCACATTCCTGCCTTAAGAGTCCTCTTCGTTAGACAAACTGTAAGTAAGAAAGGAGGGTCTCGCTCCTGAAGGTTGATTCCAGGGCAAAGCTATTAAGTCTTTAACAGGCCACAAGGCTACAGAAAGAGTTGAATTGTTACTTGCACATTATTGTCAGAACGACGGGGGCTTAACGCCCTTTGATTCTTTCAAGGCAGGGGGCTCTGGAAGCCTTTATTTTGAAGGAATTCTCGATATTGCAAGAGAGGCTCATTCTGCAAATGGAAGGGGCTGCCAGGGCAACTGGGAAAGCAGAAACTAATTAATTTTATCGGCAGTGGAGCCTGGACCATCATTTATTTCCGAGGGTCCACAGAGAAGTGCAGAAGACGAGGGAGCAACTGCTCCATTCAGAAATAAATGCAACGAAGGATGCTGCGTCTGTCTGGATGAACGGTCTGAAGCCACTTAACAGGAACTGTTCACAAAGCATCTGAGGACGCCTGGAATTTCATTAGGAATGTTTCGTTAGGGATCATCAAGGCTCTGGTCACAAGCCACGAGGAACCGGTCCCCAAATACCGGAGCTAAAGAAGGTTTTGTTGTGCAGTTCTCTTCCCATTTTCTCAGAAGGGAAAGGAGGGAAGGCGACACGGTAAAACCCAATCTTGTCAGATCCTGGAAACTAAGCAGGGTTGGCACTTGGATGGGAGGCCACCAAGGAAGAGCCTGCAAGAGGAAGGCCATGGCCAGCCACCTCTGTTCACTTCTTGCCTTGAAAGCTCCTTGTTGGGGCTGCTGTGAGTTGGTTGCGACTTTTTCCCCCTGACTTGAATGGCCCAGACTAGCCCGATCTCGTCAGATCCCAGAAGCTAAGCAGTGCTGGCCCTGGTTAGTAATCGGATGGGAGACTACCAGTGTTCCCTCTAAGCTGAGTGAGTGTGAGCCAGCTCACACTTTTTTAGCCTCCGGCTCACACTTTTTTTTGTCTTCGCTCAGGAAGGAGGGCTCCGGAGCAAACTAAATTATGCAGCAGCCCAATCGCTCGCTCACAACTTTAGTGCCGGTAGCTCACAAAGTAGGATTTCTGCTCACAGGACTCGACAGCTTAGAGGGAGCATTGGACACTACCAAGGGAAGTCCAGGGTTGCGAGGCAGAGGCAGGCAGTGACGAGCCACCTCTGAGCATCTCTTGCCCTCCCCTGGGTGGCCCAGGCTAGCCCGATCTCATCAGATCTCGGAAGCTAAGCAGGGTTGGCCCTGGTTAGCAATCGGATGGGAGACCACCAAGGGAGTCCAGGGTTGCTACGCACAGGCAGGCAACGGTCAGTCACCTCGGGGATCCTCTTGCCTTGGCGGCCCTACAGGGCTGCCACAAGTCCACTGCAACTTCATGGCACTTTCCACCCCCACCAGCTCCCAGAGAACTGAACTCTGAATACGTGAGGCTGACTTGTCCCAGGTGGAACCACAGGTCCGGCTGGAGCCTGGGATGTTTCTCGCCGGTGATTCTCAAAACAGCTTCCCCGAAAGAGGCGGAAGGGGGGAAGGGCTTGAAAAATGACGCCATCGTTTTGATGACGGCACTCCTTTGCTTTCCTCAGAGCAGCCCCAGGCAGCACTGCCACCCCACCCCCCCGGCCAATTATGTGAGCAGCGGCCTCAATCTAGGGGAGGCAGCCGAGGTCCCCTGGGGTTCCCCGAGGCAGCACACCACAAACGTGGACAAGTCTTGTCCGTGACGCCTGGTCCTGTCCCGGACTGAGAGAGCAAACAGAGAGAGCGGGACGCTGGAGGCAGGGACGCCTGCCCGCCTGTCAGTCATGGGACAGACAGACCAACAATAGAGGCAGACATCTTCTTCGAGGTCTGAATGAAATTTGACTCCAGTTATCAAGAAGGGCCTGCTCTGTCTGGTGGCAGCTCTCCCCAGTGTGAGCCCGGCTCCCTCCAGTTGTCTAACCGGAGATGCCGAGGACTGGATCCGGGACCTTCCACATGCAAAGCCTGGACTTCCCCCCACTATACTTCAGTGTCCCTTTCCATCCCTTCTGGGTTACAGCTCGGAGCGGCCACATTCTACATAGGAGGGGTCCCCCAACCTTTTTGAGCCTGTGGGTGCCTCTGGAATTCTGACACGGGATGGTGGGTGCAACCACAAAATGGCTCCTGCGGGAAGCAGAGCCAAGAACAACAAAAAAGGGGAAAACAGGGCTGATTAAAAAAAAAAAAAAA